AGCTTTAGTATCATGCTCTGTTTAATGTGTGCTCCTTGTTGGCAGAAGGTGAGAATTGATGGTGCGAGCTTAGCCAGAGAAGCCTCCAGCACAACGATAGATGGGGGGGTGGGAGGGGGGACTGTTGGGATGTTCACATAAGGTTTGAGACACACCCCCACCCCTAAGATCCATGCTGGTGTCCACAACCCTGGGACCTACCATGCCAACTCCTCTGAGAAGGCTCACAATAGAAGGTATTAGATCGAGTGGGAAAGAACATGAAACAAAACTCAGAATCATAAAAGAGATCCGGCCTACTGGTCAGAGAGGGTCTGGTAGGACCCCTAAGACCTTGGCCCTTCGTCATCCATCACCTCCAGGAGGGAAGCCGCCCAGGTTAAGTGGTTAGTTACCTACTTAAGATCTGAAGGGCAGCATTTACCCAAGTAAAGTGCAGAGAGTAAAGAAATGAGGGCTGGAGACAAGGAGCAAAGAGAGGAAGTGAGGTACGTTGAGCAGACTAAAATGGATGAACTGAAATGAAACGTGTATGAATCGTCAAACTAATGATTTGCTCTGTGCACCGTCCCCTCCACGCTGACATAGACTTGTGTGTGTCCCTGCTGCTTCATACCTCTGCGACTCACCACTGGCCCCTGTAGATTTTTATTGTCTGAAAAACACCCAATGAAGACCCAAAGCAAATCCCATTTCTTTGGTGGAGATGCCTGTGGGACATGCAGGAGCCAGGGTACTGGACTCCTCTTGTATCCTGACTGGTCCCTCTGCCTCGGGGTTATTTGTCATGCTCCTTGTTAGACTGTGAGCCTCTGGAGGGGAGGAGTCATGTCTTCTTTACCTTGGTATTTCACACACCTGGGCCTTGCATCATGATGGTCACTAAGACTTGTTGGTTGACTGGCTGATGGATAAATGAATGAATGAGGCACATGGTGTTTCTGTGCTTTCCCAACTTCCATCTGAATGCTTCCTGGCAAAATCTGCATACTGTCACTTGGGTGGATGATAATCATTGTGTGCAGGTGGGGAGGTGGAAGGTAGACTTGGCAGTCTTGTGAGAGGTTGAAGGCTGCTCAGAAGAGAGAGTCATATGGCTGCATTTGTACAAAAGCCAGACGACTGAGAGACCACCCTGCGCTGAAGCACAGCCCTCAAGAAGCTATATGAACATAGGGGTAGGGGTGGTAATAACAGGCATGTCATGTCCCTGTGGGCATGGGGAATGGGATAGCAGGAATGTCCCTGTGGCCATGGTGGGGGCTGGGAGGAAGGGAGTTATAACAAGCATGTCTCTGTGGAAGTGGGGGGAGAGGACTAACAGGCATGTCTCTGTGGACATGGGGGGAAGGGCATAACAAGCATGTTCCTGTGCAGCCGGCGTGTCCCCTCGTTAAAGAGGGGGAAAGGAGAAAGCATCCCCATACTCCTCCTGATATGGAAAATACAGAGCTGCGATCATCTAGCTGAGTGAACTTGAGTGGGGTCTGCTAAACCAACATGAACAAAGAAAGAGATGGCCTTTTGCATCCTGACCCTACCAGTGGCCCCGCTATCAGGATTCATAGGAGCAAGTAAATGAGGTGCATCTGAGCATGGCTGTGACCAGAACGAGGCGGCAGGAAAGAGCTGCAGTCACGATTCTAACACAGGCATCCTGAGTGAACCTGCGAAATCTATCACCGCTGACGGTCGACTCGGTGGAAATGAAGACTGAAGTATCAGAAATGTGTGTTAAAATAATCCCTCTCATTGAGTTAGCAAAAGACAATCTAATGTAGCCAAGGGAACACTACAAAGTTGGATTCAAATCTAGACCTGGCCCTTCCCAGCTGTGTGGCCTTGGGAAGGGGCCACAATGTCACTGCAGGTTGGTTTTCTCCCGTGGAGAATCAGAAAGCAACACCTGTCTCCCTGTCATTGTCAGGATTAAATGAGGGAAATTAAATGAGGTTGGTAATATTGGTGCCTAGCGCATTTACTAATGGTAGCTATTATTGTGAGCAACATTATTATTATGAAAAATTGTTAACACCCTTATGACCATCACCGTGCCAATTTGAGGTGACTTGCTCGTGGTATGCCTTCAAGCTTATTAGCCAAGCGACTATCTTTTTGTTTGTTTGAAGCGCCTCATCCATGCAAGTGATGTGCACAAAAAATGCCTCAAAAAGCCAAAGTAGACATCACACATTTCTGAAACAGGTGCTTTTCCCCACCATGAACCCCTTTGTAGAAAAGCCATCGTTAATGTTAAATATTAATCACGATTGTTAATATTATCCTAACGAAGTTTTGCTCATGTAAGTGAAGGCAAGATTTTGAGAAATCACACATTCCTGATTAAAGTCGAGTACCTTCCTTACTACCTTTTATTTGCAGTCATCCCTACTGAACAGAACCTCGCTATCCCTCCAACACATGCCAGGCCCACCCATGAGCCCCGGATGGACTGCTCTTGGGCTGCCTGTCAGCAGGCGGGAGGGCAGTGTGTGCGTCAGGTCCCTTGCGTTGTACGTGGATGCAGTCCCTGTTCCTTTCACTCCCGGAGCAGACTGGGAGCGCCCTCTTCCCAAGGCTTCCAAGTTCAAGGCTAGTTTCCCTTCCTGTGCCTGAGGCCCCCTGGACTAAGCTGAAAGAACGCAGAACCTGGAGTTGGCCTGAGATGGTGGGATTATCGAGGGTCCCCCTTCCACATTTCAGACGCTCTAACTGCCAGCCCCAGAGCAAGGGGAACAAGAAATAAACATATCTGAACCTTTTAATTGAACATGACCGTGGTGACATTGTTGAGGCGTGGGTTGGGCTACGTGAGTAAAATTTATAGATGGCTGGAAGTCATCCGTTCAAGTATCAATGAACATTTTATTGATTTAAGATGGAAATGTCTGTTCGTATAATAGTGTCCACGCAACATCGTTCACAGGCACCTTCAAACATCTACTCGATCCCTAACAGCTGAAGTAGACACGATTGGCGTCATTTTAAAGACCAAGAAACAGGGTGTTCAAAAGGCCAAGTAACGTGGTGAACCGACTATGGACTGGAAGCAGGGAGGACCCCCCACTGAGGCATCGGGGTGACTGAGAGCAGGAAATTGCATTCGACGTGTGTCTACCTTGTATATTGTGGTTGTTAGGTGGTGTCCAGTGGGTTCTGAGTCACAGTGACCCCACGTACAACAGGGCGAAATGCCGCCTGGTCCTCCACTAGCCTCGTGGTTCCGATGCTTGAGACATCGTGGCAGCCACTGTGCCAATCCATCCTTTCACTGCCTCTCCACTTTACCAAGCATGATGTCCTTCTCCAGGGGCTGGTCTAAAGTACATGAGAAACTGCCCCGTCCTCACCAAGGAGCATCTCAGCTGTGCTTCTTCCAGGGAAGATCGGTGTGTCCTGTTGGCAGTCCGTGGTACTTTCGATAGGTTTTGCCAGCACCATCATTCACAATCGTTGCTTCTTCTTCTGTCTTCCTTATTCAGTGTCTAAAGTTTACAGACGGATGATCCAGTTGAAAACACCACGGCATAGGGCAGGCGCACCTTAGCCCTCAAAGTCACATCCTTGCTTTCCAACACTTTAAAGAGTCTTGCCATGCAGTGTTTGATCTCTTGACTGCTACTTCCATGAGCCTTGAAAGTAGAGCTACGCCAGGCAAAAACCTTCCATCTTGTCTCCATTTAACCTGCTGTTGTTGCCTGTTGGTCCAGTTGTGGATAGATAAAATAGTTTCTGAATAATGTTCACATGGACTTCTCCGATGGAGAGTCAAGTACGTTGGGTCTAAGACCGCCATTAAGGGCACTCAGAAACCAAAAAGCCTGACCTAAAAATCTATCAGTCATTAACAGTGCTTTCTGCATTAACTTGTCCAGCTTTCCAGCCGTTTTACAATCAGACAGCCAACAGCGATGTCTGATACAAACAGCTGTTTTTAAAGAGGCCGTGAAAGCTGCTCGCAAAACTATGAGACAGAGCACCTGGGAGTTTGAGTGGCTTCCTTAACAAGCATTGGGAAAGAACCAGTTGCCTGCAGGTCAATTCTGACTCATGGCGCCCCCGCGTGGTCACAGTGGAAATGTGCTCCATAGGATTTTCTGAGGCAGATCCCACCCCCCACTGCCCCTGGCCGTCCCTGAGTAGATTGCCAGACCTATCTTCTGTAGCACCTGGATCCATAACCAATGCTCATGGAAGCAGCAGTCCAGAGAGCAAACACATTGGGTCAATCTGTTGCCCAAGGCCTCGTTGAAGTGTTAAAAGCAAGGATGTGACTTTGAGGACTAAGGTGCCTGACCAAAGCCAGGGTGTCTTCAGTCACCTCGTATGCATGTGAAATGTGGACACTGACTAAGGAAGGCCCAAGAGGAACCGACGTATTTGGACCGTGGCGCTGGCGAAGCAGATTGAAAGTACCCTGGGCTACTGAAAGAACAAACGGGTCTGCCCTGGAGGAAGCACAGCTGAAAGGCTCCTTAGAGGCAAGGATGGCCAAACTTTGTCTTACTTATCAGGAGAGACCAGTCCCTAGATGAGGACACCATGCTTGGTAAAGTGGAGGGGCAGCACAAAAGTGGGAGACCCTGGACAAACGGGCTTGACCCAGTGGCTGCAGCAATGGGCTCCAACAACAGAACCATTGTGAGGACGGTGCAGGCTCGGCAGGGTTTCTTTATGAGTAGGAAACGCTCACCAACCGCTCTGTGCATTGTCTCCCTTGTGTTTACGTGTTTCTGTTCCTCGCCAGTCTTCGAGGCCCTGGAGGCAGGAACTGGGTCTTATTCATCATGGCATATTCTGCAGCACCCAACCTGACACACAGAAGATTCCCCAAAAGGTTTATTTAATCGATGAGTGCACTACACATGCAACTAGCTGAGAATCTATCAGCTCATGGTCCTTTGCCAAGAGCAGGGAGAATAGTTCGATCCGCAAAGCTGGGTGTCAGGGGAGGCTGGTAGGTGAAGGGCCCTGTTCACTCACCTTCTGATCTCTTCCAGGAGTGGCTCTGCCCTGGCCCAGCTCTACGGAACCTCTGCTACCCTGGAGCATCACCACTTTAACCACGCAGTGATGATCCTGCAAAGTGAGGTACAAACCCAGTGCTCTGCGTGTCCCCTTAACAGAACACCAACAAAGCTCTTGACTTCCTGCCGCTCTTTCTTTGTAGTATTGTATCACAGGTGGATGAAAAGCAGTAGGACATTTTGCTTTAAGCCAAAACCCTGAGCCTGAAGAAGCCCTGGGTCTGTATAGCAGTTACCTGTTGGACCGCTCACCACAAGGCCAGCAGTTAAAAACAACCAGCAGGAGAGGAGACTTCCCACCACCATAGAGTGACAGTCTCAGGGACCCACAGGGGCAGTTCTACCCTGTCCCACAGGGTTGCTCTGAGTTGGAATCGACACCATGGCATGGTCTTACCTTCCTTAAGGGACACAGCAGCCTACTAAAGAAGTGACTTAGTCCAAGTGGCAAGTGTAACCCAAAGCCATTTTTCTAAAAGACGGTAGAAGCAGAATCAGGGTCAGAATGATATCCTGTGTTATATACTTTATTAAGCACAATGAAAAACACCTGACAAAACCTGTACACTGTTCCAGGAACCCAAGAGGAAAGCAAATTTTGGGAATAATGAGGGCAACAAATGTATAGATGTGCTTTACACAATTGATCTATGTATTGTGATGATCTATGTATTGTATGAGCCCCAATAAATTGATTTTAAAAAAACCAAAAAACCTGTACACTGCTGGTGGAACCAGATTAAAAGTGACATCTGCAACTCAATTTAAGACCCAAGGCCAACACTGTCTGCCTTGTTTCTCTTCGCGGCGCAATACAGGCTTTGGAAGTAATTAGGGTTTTACCCCTCTGGCTCTCTGCAGAGGACAACAGAAACCTCGGACTCTGATGGAAACATCTGAATTCAAAATGGCCAGGAAAGGGTCTGTTTCATTTTCTGCAGGCATACAGACTCTGTGTGTGTGTGTGTGTGTGTGTGTGTGTGTGTGTGGCCAGGGAGGGATCATCTGTTCCCCATTATTTGTCAGTTCTCTAACTGTGCCATTAATTATTATTATTATCATCATTAAGGCCCTGCTTCGCTGGAATAGCATCATTAAATAGGGAGGGTTTTCCCTCCAGCCTATCCTGACAGAGCCTGACCTTTGCAATATCACGAAAGCCTTCAGCCTCATAAAGGGAAGTCCACACTGGGAACATGGGAAGGGCAAACCTTCTGGGGGCCACGTATTTGCAGGCGGAACAGAACCCCAAGGTGTGGACTCTCAGGAACCCTGAGGGGAACCAGCAGCTTGGCATCTGTGGCTCTGGCATTGCCCAACCAAAGCCATGTTTGATCCGAGTGCAGCCCAGGCGGGAACTGGGGAACCAAGGGCCTGCCCGTGAGATGCCCTTTCCGTACCGGGATGGGTGTTCACCTCCAACTCTCAAAAGCCCACCTTTGTGCGCAAGCATTGTCAGGCTTCCTCTGAATGTCATTTGTGCCTTTGGAGACTTCCTGAGTTAAAACCATATTAGTCTCACCTGACTCATTTAATCAAGAGGCAGTTGTGAGAATAAAATAAGGGAATACTGCATGTTTTAAAATCAGGAAAGGTGTGCATCAGGTTTCTAGCCTCTCACTGGACTTAGTCAATCCTCAGAGAAGCTGGATTATAGGAACAAGTATGCAGCATCAGGTTTGGAGGAAGCTTATTAACAATCTGCAAGATGCAGGTGACAAAACTTTGCTTGCTGAAAGTGAGGAGGACTTGAGTCACTTGCTGATGAAAATCAAGGATTTCTACCTTCAAGGTGGATTCTGGATCAATGTTAAAAACAGAACAAAAACAAACTTCTCACAACTGGACCAATAGGAAACATCATGATAAGTGGAGAACAGATTGAAATTGCCAAGGATTTCATCTTGCTTGGATCCACAGTCGATGCTCATGGAAGCAACAGTCAAGAGATCAAACACTGCCCAAGACCTCTTTGAAGTGCTGAACATCAAGGATGGAACCTTGTGGACTAAGGTGCGCCTGACCTAAGCCTTGCTATTTTCAATGGCCTGGTTTACATATTAAAGTGGGCCATTGAATAAGGATGACTAAACAGAAATCGATGTGTTTGAATTATGGTGTTGGTGAACAAGATTAAGTGCCATGGACTGGCAAAAGAATAAATAGGTATGTCTTGAAAGAAGTACAACCAGAATGCTCCTTAGAGGCAAGGATGGTGAGGTTTCTCAACAGTTTATACATGGTGTCAGGAGAGGCCAGTCCCTAGAAAAGGCTATCGTGCTTAGTAAAGCAGAGGAGCAAGAGGGATTGACCCAGTGGCTGCGACAATGGGCTCCACTATCAGCACACTTGGGAGGACGGTGCAGGGCTGGGCAATGGCAGTTCTGTTGGACATGGAGGCTCAATGACTCAGAACCAGCTCGATGACAATAAGAACAACATACAAGGTAGAGGACCATCTAAGATGGTCTCCAGCTCTCAGCCACACTGAGGCCTCAGTGGGGATCCTTCCTGCATTTGGAAACAATGTTTATATGGTGCCTAACAACAGCAGCGGCCCCACACACGGCGCCTTGGCTGCCCTTCATGGTGGTGTTCACTAAGAAGAACGGAGAATAGGAACGGGGCTGCCCACTGAGCACCTTGGATGCACTGGGCACCTCATGCCTCACCCACCGGCCTCCACGGCCCTGCCCATCAGGAAGGCAGAAAGACAGTGTTAATGTCGCCACACTTAACCGTACGTGGGGACGGAGATGGAGAGGTGAAACCGCTTTGCTGACGGCCAAACAGCCAGTTGGTTGTCCCAGACTGTCTGCCCGCATTTGGCTTCCTTCCCATCAGTGCGGCACTCACCCTTTCCCTGAATAGACTAGGAACCTTTATCTGGGAGACTTCAATCTATTTAACAAACCCACAAAGCCCTGTGGAAGGCCTATTTGCATAGAAACAATACATTGGTTACAAATTAACTTTTTTCCCCCCTTCAGGCAGTCCGACTGACTCTCTCACTGGTTCCGTTGTTGTTGTTAGATTTTCTTAAGTAGAGTTCTACTTCTCATACTGCCGTGTGACAGAGTACAATTGCCCCTGTAGAGCGTTCTAGGGTGGAACCTTTACTGGAGCCAACTGAGAGGTCTCATCTCCCTTTTAGCTGCTAATTGGATTCAAACTACCTAGCTTCCGGTTAGGAAGTGAGCAGTAACCACTGCACCACCAAAATCCAAGACCGAGGGCAGTCACTGAGTCCGTTCCAAGGCGCAGTGAGTCTGTTGCACAAAGCAGAGCTGCCCTGGGGGTTTATGAGCCCTGTATCACGATGGGGTGGGACAGCCTTGTCTTCCTCTTGCAGAGCCACCCGTGGATCTGAACCTACGACCTGTGGCTGACAGCTCAATGCATAACCCACCACGCCCCCAGGGTTCCTGGGCTCTCTCTCGGTGTCCTTCAAAAGTAGTAAAACGCGCTCCTTCACAAAATAATAAGAATCCTCAAATTCAGACCAATTTTCTTTTTCGTTCTCAAATGATTTGACTATATCGCACCACGTATGTTGGCCCCACGTCTTCCACTGGGAGAAGTGGGGGATGGAGCCGGGTCCAAGGGGCGGCCTTTCCAAGAACTTCACTTTTCTCCAGACCCCGAAAAACAGTAGCCTGTGATTGATCTGGGGCAAGGCTCCGGCGGAGAAACCCTGCCAGAATGATGATGAGGCATTCCTTTAGTTATTTGTCTTCAGCCTAATGGCAGAATTAAGCGTCTGGAAGGGTTCATTTGAAAATTATTATTAATATTGGACCCGGTCCCAGGTGAAACCAATGTACTCTACTGTTAAGGAGTGGCGGGCTCCTCCAAAGGTAAATTAACTCCTGGGGCAGATGATCATCGTGTGGCGCATCGAGAGCGCATTCACTAATTGATATTCTGGTTCTGCGAGAGAATTAATTTCCCTCTCCTCGGAGAACAGTTCTTTCTCAGTCACAGGGGCCCCTCCCTTCTCCACCATCTTCTGGCTCTCAATACAAGGTCCCAAATTTGTCCAGCTCCCCAGCCATATGCTCATGAGCTTGGAGTTCAGACTAAATAGCTCTGAGGAAGAAAAGTCCAAATCGTGGAGCTGCCTCATGAAGTTATAACAAAGTTTGATGAACCCGATGGCGTGTGCTTTTCAACGGTGGAGGTGTATTTGCAGGTTTTCCTGGGCAAATTGGGGTCCGCGGCGCCAAGAACAAGGCCATATATATCACTGATCACTTCCCTGCATTTACACTGCCACCCATTTCATTACGGCATACCTGAACAACTCAAACTCAGGGGTCTCACTGATGATGGGGGCCCAAACTTTTTATTGGTGGTGGTTTTGTGTAGGGGCTGTCCTGCACATTGCAGTAGCGTGGTTAGCAGTGTCCCTGGTGCTACCCATAGGATACCATAGCACCCTCCCGTAGTGAGACAGCAGCCACCAATCTCCACTCACTGCCAAATATCCCAGAGGAGGCAAAAACTGATCCCTGTTGAGAAGCTCTGTTCTAGTGGAATGCGTGTCCTCCTCCTTAGAGTCACTTGTTCCCTGTGCAAAGTATTTCCAAAATGTCAACTTAAATTCTAACACGTAAGACCAGTAATTACTTCAGGGTCAGAAAGACTCCCCCAAAGTTTTTCCAACCTCTCTTCTTAGTAATGAGCTGGAATTGTCAGCACAAACATTTCCACGGTAAAGTAAGGTCAACCATTTCCAGAGTTGCCTCTTCAAAATAGAATGCAGTGTGCCAGACTGTGTGCTCTTGGTTTGCTGTTGACCAGGGCATCTATTTGTATGTTCACACACTCAGCTTTTGTAAAGATGATGGTTATCATAGCCCCAACACCCCCCTTTTTTTAATACAGCGGGGGCGGGGGGGGGGGGG